GAAGCAAAGTCACTGCAGGAGAGAAGCACAGGCAGAGAAACGCTGCCACCTCGTGGGCAGGGACGGCTTGCAGCTCCTTCCGCGCTGAATTTGCCGGTCAGCGTGGAGTAAAAACAGACTCCCAAGCCTGAAATACCGAGAAAAGCCAAGGGCTGCTCCCCTCTTTGCTAGCGAGCTGTACCAGCAAAATAGCGATTGCGGAGGTTGGTTAGCATTCCGTTTACTATATTCCTCTTCTGAATCTTTCAGAACGTATTTATGTGACTAGCTAGGAAGGCAGTTTAATTTTCTGTCACAAACTCACTGGTCTTAAATAAGAAGGTACATGAATGGGGGCAGGACAGCAAATGAAAGAAGGAACCGGCCTTAAACCGTACCCAGGATAAATTTGCTGACCCCTATTGGATTTATTGCCCTGCATTCTAAAACCAGTACAATATTCAGTGCTGGAGGCACACTATAACAACAGTATATATCAGTTGTTTTCCTGCCCCTAGAATAGAGCACAATGCACACACATACGATTAGTTAATGTTTAAGGAGCAAAGCAAGAACATTTTTTTTTTACTAACCTACCCTAACCTTTCCTTCAATAATAACTATTCCTGAGCTCCAGGTTGAAATAAGTATGTCAGAATTGCTTTGTATACATCACCTCTCAAAAACTTAGAACCGCCATCTGTCTGGAAGGGGCAGGCAGGAACAACAATTTGCTCTCTTTCAGAGCTCCTTTTCAGCCTCTTATAAAAAAGGTTTTGCAGATTTTTCCCCTTTATTAGTTATTTGCAGTGTGCCCCAAGGCCAACATAGTGTATATAGGATAAAGTCCCATCAGGGGTTTGCCTATACTGGAAGGTATATAATTCTTTTTTTTATCCCTGGTTCGCTGAACCTAGTGGATTTCATTCAAGTCAATTTACAACTTGACTGTTCTGGATTCCTTGGCATCTGGCTGGCTTCCCCAGATGCTTCGATTATTCAGGTAAGCTTCTTTCTAGGCTAGGAGTCTTTCTAGGCTAGGGGCTATACTGCATACAGCGTGATTTAACAATGTAATCTTTGGCAAAAAGTTCTTAAGAACATTGATTGCCTGACTCTTCTGGGCCTGGAAACCGTTCAGGGATTACAAAATGGTGATTCTGGTTAGCTCAGGGTATCTCCAGAATGATTCTATTCAGTTGGACTAATCCCCACCTGCACACTATGGTGGAGGGGAATATACTGTCAGTTTGTATGTTCTGGGAGCCTTGTTGCTACCCTGAAGGAACATCGCTCATCCTCTTTTCCCACCTGGCTGCCTTTGAAGTATAAATAGGAAGAATCAGGTGGTTATGTATCCCCTCCTTGCAGCACTAGCTGTGGCTTTTATAGCTTCTGCAGTTGCTCAATCATGTATTTAGAAATATCTTGGTGAGATGCAACTCACCGCTTTGGTTGATGCTCCAACAAATTGTTTCCCTGCTTGACTTCAGTGAGGTTCTTTCCAGGGCTCTGACAGAATGACTAATGTAGCCGTGGATTTTGAGTGTCATGTTAATATATTTTCAACATTGCTTTTATCCAGCAGCAGATCAGTGAAGAGAAAGCTTAAGCAGCATGTAAAGCATGCTATAAATCTGAAAAGAGTTTTCTGGCTACTGTGGTGCTCAAAATTGGTGTTAAAAGGAGTAAAATGGTGTAGAAATGCACGGGCTCTCCTGCCAGCCACATTTAGGTGTTTTGAGGATGTGCTGGAGCCCTAATACACACAACCCCCTGCACCATGCGTCTCAAAGGGCTGTGAAGCTGTTGGAGTACAGATTGAAGAAAGACGGTCAAGCACAGTTATCCTGCCAGGGTTACACACGCTCACTGATGGACAAACTCCCACTACAGTTAGCAGGAAAATGCAGACAGGGAGCAGCTTTTACAAAGAGGCCATAGTATCACAGCTCTGTTACCTGCCTGGTACTTTCTCTGTTTTGCTGTGCATAATCAAACAAACTGTGGCCCCTCAGGTCTGTAGAAGAAGTTTGGGAATCCTTGTTCTGGAACCTCAAATCGATGGAACGGAGATCCTGATTAGCAGCCATGTAGAGCCACATTTTTTAATTGACTTCACAGGATGCTACTCAGCATTTCTTTTGGGTGAGTATGGATTCTGGAGCTAAATTTTAGCCCTCCTGAATTTTTGCCCTCCATCCCTCTCTTCAGTTTGGTTTTACACTCAAGATCTGTAATCCATGCAAGCTGCACTGAAGAGGAATACCACAGCAGAGCCTGGTTGTTGTGAGTCAGCTTGAAGCAATCACCTGCCTGGCCAGGAGAAGAGGGGAGCACCTGAACTTCATTATCTCCAAGTGGTGATAAGGATCAGCAGCTGCCTTTGGGCAGGAGGTGGGCAGCAAAGATGGGCTCTTTGTGGGTCATGTGCATCTTCAGCAAGTGTGTGCAGCCTCATGTCATCCTGTGGCAGTTCAACAGTGGTAGGCACTGGGCATAGGAAGAAAGCAAGAGGTACTTTTTCTTTTTTAAATATTAATTTTAATACCCAGGTTGAGGTGTTCACTTTTGAAAAAGTGTTCTCTCCAAATGCTGGACTAAGTGCAAGCATTACTGAATGAAATGTTATAGCCTGTGTATGTAGGGGATGATACATAATAGGCTTTTTTAACTTTTAGATCTATTAAGTTGCTAAGTTATGTTAAACAGTAGTTTTAAAATGCTTTTCTCTCATTTTTTCATCCATGAGCCTAGTCAAGGAAAGGCTTGACGTAGAAAATGGCATTATTTAAATGATGACCTCAAGCACAGAAAGATATATGAGAAGCAAAAGATGTGGGACTCGGACTGTGCTCACTTTGGACTGTTTTATAATTCCTTCTGTTTTAATGTGGGCAGCTGAATGTAAAAGCCACCTTGTTCTCTGGCTATGCTGGGTGAATGCCAAAGTCCTCCCAGCTCCAGCAGTTCTGCTCGAATTGAACTAGTGAAGACAATGCCCAGAGCAGAGCTGATGTCCCTGCGCATGGCTCCGATGCTCAAATACAGTGTTCATGTCATCTCCCTCAGAAACATGGTGGGGGGAAAAAAAGAATCGTTATTGATCAAACACAAACAGACAGGGAGAGGAAAAAAAAAGCCAGGGGTAAAGAAATGTTATTTTGTCAAGCTTTCAAAGAAAAAAAAATGTGGAGCAGAAAAATGGAATTCTATTGAAAAGAATGGGTCCTTAATCATGTTTTAAAGTAAAAAATGGGTGATGAAATGGTTTCACTGCGCCTTGAAGGCACTTGTTTTCCTCAGTGTGAGGCTCCAGTGTTTGAAAGGTGCTTCTGCACAAAATGGTGCCTCTCGGAGGGTTCTGGGCTAAGCTGGCACTGATGGGTGGCATCACTTTGAGCAGCAGTGACAAGGTCCAGGTGAGGAGTCTTGGGTCTAGAGCAGGACTAGATCCACATTTTGGATTACAGAAATCCTGATCCAGGGTCTGATAAAATCTTACTTAGACCTTGGTCTCAGTTTTGTTACTAGCATCTCAAGGATGCAGATGTTTCTGGCACAGTGTTTGTTGCAAAAAGGGTTGTGGTGAGTGAGGAGTTACTGTAAATAGATGGAGGAGCCTTTGGAGTTCTGTTGACATTATCCTGTTAAGGGACGGGGAGCAAGAGGAAGGGAGGAAATAGCAGAGTTTGACAGGCTTGTGTGCGTGTGCTTGCCTTCCATGAGATGTGTTGTGCAGCAAATGCTGATGTGCCTCCTCGTCCCCCGGGGAAAGAGAGGGGTCTGAGGCACGAGCTACTCAAAGTAGACGTTTGTTTTTCTTTCCTGATGTTGAAATAGGAGAGTCCCAAGCTGTGTGTGCAGAGGCAAAGCAGAGGTGTCTGCCAGATACATGTGTTTTCAGCAAACTGGAGATATTAACGATGCAAGTTGGAGCCCTGCACTGCAGCTGTAGGTCTGTGATTTAGTGTGGTGCAGATGTGCTGCAAACATCCTGTGCCTGCCCTGGGATGCGGAAAGAACTGCTCCATCCCCACCTGGTAGCTGAGCGCTGCGCTAGAGTTTGCTGTGTGTGGGAAGGGCTGCTGCTGCTCGGGGACTGCAGCTTGGAGGGCAGCGGGGAGCCTGGGGCTTCTCCCTCTCGGGAAGGCGGCGTGAGCAGGGAGCGACCGTCAGA